GCTGCTGCTGCTGCTGCTGCTGCAGGAGTACCTAAAGAGTCTTCCCGTCTAGGAGAGGGCTGACCACAGCAGCTGCAGCATTCTGAGAAAAGTGATTCGGAAGAATGAACAAGCTGCTTCTCCTGCAGCACTGCTGCTGCTGCTGCTGCTGTTGGTGCTGCTGCTGCTGCTGCTGCGAACCTCCTGGGCGCAGCTGTCTGCCTCAGAGCCCCCTCGCGCAGGCAGTCCCCCTTTGGAGCGCCTTTTGCTGCAGCTGCAGCAGCAGCAGCAACTTCTGTTGCTGCTGCTAAAATGCCTTGGGCGCTGAAGCAGCCCTCTTGCTGGGCTTCTTCTGGGTCCTCGTTGGGAAAAAAAGATGAGACACTTTGTGTTTCTTTTGCTGCTGCTACTGATGCGGTTGCTGCTGCTGCTGCTGCTGCTGCTGGTGCAGCAGCAGCAGCAGCAGATAGACCTTGCGAAGCCTCAATTTGCTTCATGAGAGCGTCGAGCACATCAAGAACCTTTTGCTGCTGCTCATTCTCGACGGCCATAGGTGTTGCTGTCGGCTTCGCTGCAGCTTCCTCTGCTGCAGCAGCAGCAGCTGCTGCTGCTGCTGCAGCTGCAACAGCTGCAGGATTACTTCGGCTCTCTTGAGACAAGCCTAATGCCTTGACTTGGCTGCTGCTCCGCTGTCGGAGGCAAGCTGCAGAACGTGATGCTTTCCTTGCTGCTGCTGCTGCTGGAGTTGCTACTTCTGCTGCTGCTGCTGCTGGTGGTGGTGTTGCTACTGCTGCTGTGGCTTCTGTTGCTGCTGCTGCTGCTGCCTTAGGATCTTGGGCCTTAGATAGGGGGGAGTCGCTGTCCTCGCCATCTTGCCCTATATGCTGCTGCTCTTTCAGTGAGGAAAGAGGAAACCCATCTTCAGCTGGGCTGCTGCTGCTGCTGCTGTCATTGCTGCTGCTGTCATTGCTGCTGCTCTCGCAATCAAGGGGAGAAAGAGCGTTGCTTCTTTGCAGATTGGCACTTGAAGGCACCTCCTGCTGCTGCTGCTGCTCGTGCTGCTGCTGCTGCTGCTCTTGCTGCTGCTGGCGCTGCTGCTCTGGCGGCTGTTGATGGTCTTGCTGCGGCTGCTGCTGCTGCTGCTGCAGACCCTCTTCGCCTTGAAGCTCCTGAGCCAGTCTTCTCAGCTTTTCAGCCAGGGCTCTGCGCTTCTCCATGGACACTCCCATTTGCTGCTGCTGCCCTGCTGTTGCTCTCACAGCAGCAGCAGCAGCTGCTGCAGCAAGGGCTGCGCTGGCAGCAGCAGCAGCACTGTCCTCCTCGTGACCCTCCGGGTCTGCTGCACGCACCCCAAAGATGCGTTGCAGCGTCCTGAGCAGCAGCACAGCGCAGCAGCAGCAAGCACTTCAGCAGCGAATGCAATCGCAGCAGCAGCAGCAACAGCAGCAGCAGCATAAGAAGTGCAGCAGACTAGAATCTTACAGCTCCAACGCAGTAAACTGCTCAGAGGCTTGCTGCGGGTGCTGGTCCTGCTGCTGCTGCTGCGCCTTCTTTTGGTGGGCATTCTTCAGGTTCCTGTCGGCTTGCTGCTGCTGCTGCTGCTTCTGCGGGTTCTGCTGCTGCTCGGAGGAATTAGAATGAGCTTCGGCATCATCGCATTTGCGTGGCCCATGCCTGCTGCTGCTCCTTGCTGCTGCTGCTGCTGCTGCAGTGGGTAGACGCAGCTTCTGCCTGACTTGCTGCGGCGGCGACAACTCTCTGCTGCTCTCTGCTGCTGACGCCGGCGAACTGGGAGACCTGCTGCTGCTGCTGCAGCTGCTGCTCTTGGGGCGCGCTGCAGCAAAGACACCAGCAAGCTGCTGCCTCCGCCTCATGGACAACTGTCTTCTTGAAGGAGAAGTTAGCCGTCTGCTGCTGCGCTTCTCCTGCGCTGCTGCTGCTGCTGCTGCTGCTGCCGGCGACGTAGCCCTTAGCTGGATACTTCGCCGCTGCAGTTGCTGCTGCTTCTGCTGCACAAGTAGCAGCTGCTGCTGCAGTAGCTCTTCCATGTCTTCCTCTTCCTCCAACAGCTGCTGCTGCTTAGGGGTGGGGGCAAATGGCAAATCAGAAGGAGCCATTTCATTCTCTAGCTGTTCTAAAAGCTGCTGCTGCTGCTGCTGCTGCTGCTGCTGCTGCTGTCGCTGTTGCTGCTGCAGCTGTTGGTGCTTCTGCTGTTCTAGCAGCAGCTGCTGCAGCAAAGCTTCCTCTGCGTCGTCAGCTTCCAGCCACCGCTGCTGCGGGTGAAAAGCACCGCAAAGGAAAGCCTTCTCGGAATCAGCTAAAGTGTTCTCCTGCTGCAGCTGCATGCGCTTGTGCTGCTGCTGCGTCTGCTGCAGCAGCAGGTCGTGCTGGTGCTGCTGCTGCGTCTGATGCAGCAGCAGGTCGCGCGGGTGCTGCTGCTGCGTGTGCTTCAGCAGGAGATCGCGCTGGCGCTGCTGCTGCCTTTGCTGCAGAGGCAGGTCGTGCTGCTGCTGCTGCAGGAGCAGGTTGTGCTGGTGCTGCTGCTGCCTCTGCTGCAGCAGCAGGTCGTGTCTCCTGACTTGACCCTCAAGCTGCAGCTCTTCTTCGGAAATGAGGAGGGGCTTAATGATTTGCATGATGCTGCCTGCGTGAGCTGCTGCAGCAGAGGTCCTTGCAGCAGCAGCTGCTGCAGCAGAGGCCCCTGCAGCAGCAGCGGCAGCTGCTGCAGAACTGGCAGCTGTGCTGCAGCGGCGCCGCTGAGGAGAAGGACAAATCCCAGCAGCAGCAACAGGATTACATGGGGAATGTTCTTTTCGGTTTAAGCGGGGCCGCGCAGC